CACACCAATGATTCTACAGCTTCTGCAAGTTAAAAAATGAAGCGTAAAACAAAACCCCTAGGCCCCCAAACCAAATAAACTTGGAGAACTGAGACCTATGTTTATATTTCCCCTAAAAAATACATTAAATGTATGAGTAGTATTTATATAGGCTGGGAAAATTCAATGTGCTATTCCTCAAATTTTACAAATCTGTAATAATATTTTAAAATATATGAGTGTACCTCTACATTTTTCTTAATTTTTGCATTCTTATTTTTCAGGGTGTGATGTCGAATGCCAGTGTACTATTTGGGGTTTTTTTGTTGCTTTTTTTTTTTTTTTTTGGTATGGGTTATACAGATTTGAGATCTGTTGTGGCTGTAAAATTAGCCTATTTGCTATGTTAGCCTTTAATAGTATATTCCTACCTACAACTGCAGGAACACAGCTTGAAGGAAGTTTAATTAGGAAAATGAGGCAGATGAAATAGGCAATGTAATGTATACGTGCAATATGAAGAAGAGTAAATACACTTTTCATCTGAATAGTCGGAATAGAAACTGTGTGAAACTGGGCTGAAATTTTCTTTTATCAGAAATGGATTTCTTTCATTTTCTAACGTTACTATGTAATTGTCCTCCTTATTACTGGCATTAGAAAGACTACTATCATTAAAGAAGAAACATCTTTCACCAATTATATTTAGTTTCTGTTTTAGCTGGCAATGACCTCCTCATTATGTGAAAAATGGAAATCCCCGGAGGAACGGACTTAGTGAGGTGATTCCAATCAGCTGGGAAACCCTGCGCATGCACTGCCTGCATCTCATGACCTGCACGTGTGTACCTGTACTGTATTGATTCTGCTTGTTTACAGGCCATTCAAGCAATAAACAGGTAGAATTCAGATGGCTGAAAACTTGCTCTGCTGGTAGCAGTTTCCCATCTCCTGCACTCTGGAATATTCCAGCCTTGCTGCAGTGTGTTGCTGTGCGGCCATGGATTTTTCAGTTGCACCCATTACTCATTCCCCTAATGTATTTTTTAGCATTGGTATTGGTTCTGAGCACAGACAATCATGCTTTACAAAAAAACAAAGGATCGCTAGGGCAGAAAGCAGCTTTTAAGATTGTGAATAATTGTTTAAGGAAAAAAAAAAATCCCATAATCCCCTTTCAGAATTGGAGAGAACAGCACTGGGAAGTCTGCAGTACTACGTAGTGCAACCAATACAACTGACACACTTGTTTGAAATACATGCTATATTTATTTAGTCTGAATCAAGAGATAGAAATACATTATTCAGATATATTATTGTATAATAAGCAAGTAGAAAAAGTTTTAATACATACATTAATTCTGTCCATGAGATTTAAAAATGTTCTCATAATTCTGGGTCACCCAGTTGGACTGTAACCTGATTCTTCAAACTATTGCTTAGGGAGGTGTGAAGCTAGTACTTTTACTTTACTGATCCTTTCTGGACTCTTTTTAACAAGATGGCAGTGAAATAAGTAAAGATGCGTGTGGTGGGTGTATTATGAATACGTGGTATAGTCAACCTAAATTCTATGGTCCACAAAATCTATATATGGATCTGTTTAGCATTTTCTGAAAATGCATTTTTAATTGTTTTTAAAGCATTGAAAATACTCAATATTACAGAGCAGTGGTGACCCAAACTCTGTGGCTAATAATGTTACATATGTTTAATTTGGTAAATTTGAATGTTTGTATACAGGATGTCAACTCAACTGACAAAATCTTTTTTTGAACATCTCTCTTGAGGTATGAAAAAGGATGTATGGCATTGTTCTGATAGGGCCATCCAATATGTATTTTTCCCAATACCATTTAGGGTTAATTTTAATGAAAACATTCCAGTGATGAAATTATGGTCAGTAACTTATAGGGTCTGGATGATGGTAAATATCCTGAAGAGATCCTTCTCCTTCATGGTGCTACGTATTCTCCATAAGTTCATTGGAGGTTGCACAAACAGCCTATGATGATGTAGAGATTTGTAGAGTTCTGGCCTTGGTTTCCAGTTGTGAAGGAGCTTCTTGGGCCAGGGAATTCTGCCACTTCCTACCTGCCTCAGGTTACCTGCTGGAGAAGTACCTACTGGCTACAGTGCTGTGTTCAACTTCAGGTAAACCCAAATGTCAGTTTGGGAATTTGGGCTCTGTTCCATCATTCTGGTATGTTCTGCCCGCTGCTTTGTGATCCTAGCTCTTCCCATTGAACACTCAGGATTTCCCATTAATTTAACATCTCTTGTATGCAGATGTTAAATGGAGGTCTTGAGGCCAGATTAGTAGTCTGCTATCAAGTCTAAATAGGATTCCAAATCCTCAGAGTTAAAGGGGGACAGAGAAATACATTTTTATTGTATGGATAGTACGATATTTGGTAGGATAGTGGAGTATTTAGATATGTAATAGAATATTTAGGATATTTAGATATTTAAACTAGAAGAGAAGATCTTTATATTGGATTTCTTGTTCAAATAAAAATGGTTTTTTATTGCTTATCAACTCTCCAATATGATCCTTGTCTGTCCCAAATCCACCACCTGCAGCGATGTTTTAACTTGGCAAAGCTTTTACCTTGGGGGATACCCTTGTCCTTAACATGAAGCCCTTAACACAAAATTAGCCTTGGTTCTTGTAATTATCAATATTTGTTCCTTTCTGCAAGGAAGGAATTGAAGAATTTTGCAATATACACTTCAGATTGGGATTTGGTTATTTTTTTTATAGTGAGTTTGAGAGTCACCGTTAGACTAGCAAGACCCACGGAAGCCCCTAGTAATTTTAGATAGATGATTAGAACAGAAAAGCACCAGGTCATCCTTTTCCAGTTTCCCTGGAGTCTCAGTTGTCAAAGCATGGAATCCAGGCCTTATTTCCAATGACATCAACCTTATCTTGCTATTGTTGGTTGTTTTTTTGATTATGGCAGCAAACAGTCAGAGGACTTCTCCTGGTGATTATCAAAATCTCAGGTTCTCTCTCAGGTTTCCTTAAATTGAGTTTCAAAGCATCAGATTTTTAAAATCAGCATCTGTTATTTTCAAGTCTTGGTTCTGTGTTTAAGTCTATCCCATGTCTCTGGACAGTGCTTTTAGTTATCAGTAGCCTGGAAGACAGAATAAGAAATGATCGGTAGTACTTTTATTTCTGTCCATAGTATTGCTAGATGCAATGGCAGGTGTGGTAGTACATTTGATTTTCCAGATACTGGAGATAATAGCTTACAGTTAATCACTGGATGGTAGTACTGGCTATTTAATGTGTTTTGCTCCTTTTTCAGACATATTTCTTACACTGCAAAGAGAACCATGTCTCTTTATCAAATCATGTAAAAATATCCTTGGATGTTTTAATCTGAATGAGAAACCCCCACGGGGGGTTGCTGATGGACTGCTTAAGAGAAATAAGGAAGATTAGTTGAAGTTCCTAGTAATTATTGTTTTCAGACATCAGCACAAGGTAGCAGGTGTTTCCTCTAGTAAGCTATTCTTCTGGTAGCTAAAGAGACTTTACTTTTGTATGCTGTCAAGTTTCAGGTTTAATATACGGTAAGGGACACATCTTCTCAGACACTTAATCTTCTGTTGACTTTATGGGGAAAAATATAATTATAGAACCTTTTCAGATCTTTGAAACAGGGATGGTTAAAATCTTCACTCCTTCATGGTCTGCTCAAGCATTTCCTTCAATCTGTGATTTTCAAAAAATAAGATAAGGTGCCTGCTTAGAGAATGTTTATTTTGAACGTGTAGTCATCTGATTGGTTACTAAGTTTTATACTATCTATACTACGTTTTATGTATGTTTTTCTGGTGTGAAGCCTGGCTAGATGCATCTGCTATCCTTAATTTAATTTAGTTAAGTTCTTTTGTGGAATCAGATAGCTGAAAAAGCCAGAATTTCCTTCCAAAGAGCAAGCACTTCTCAAAGACACTTTCAACGTGTGTGTGCACTTAGAGGGGGTTGTTATATGTACTTTTTGTTGGAGCAGATACAAGGAATGGGACCTTAAATTAGAATAAATCTTTTAGATTAAGAACCAGGTCTTACTAAACACAAGGCTTGTAAGATAAGAACTGCAGCAAGAGATCCTACATGACTCTATCAGTATCTTTCCCTGTCTGAAGCAACTTAGGAAACTGAATTTTTTTGATTAGTCACTTGGTTCAAGCAAGGTAATGTTAGTGTAATGCTTTTGGTGTGTCTGAAGTATTGTCACATGAAATTCTTCATTACTTCATATTTTACCCTGCAGCACCTTGGATATTTCTGATTGAATTAAATACTTTAAATACTCTAGGGCTTAAAGACCTAAAATAGATACTGCGAGGATTGTGCCTTAGTTATTTAAGAAGGATTTTCATCCTCAGGAGGAGAGAAAATTTTAGTGAATGAAAGTGGAAATCTTTGGCTGGCTTTGAGTAAAATGTTGCACAAAACTATTGATCATCTGCACGTTTCAGTTGCTCAAACTAGAAAGCATGGATAGAAAATGACTAAATATGCTTCCCTTAATTTGTCAGTATTTCTTCAATTGAGGTGTTTAGTGGAGAGAGATTGATTTAGAAAATGTGGTTTCTCTATTTTCTAAGTCCTGTGTGCATTGATTTGCATTGTAGCAAAGGGCACATGTAATACTATTTGTGCTTCTCCAAGCACATGACTCAAATGCAGAACAAATGAAAATGGGATGGAGAAATGACATTCTCTGTCTAGAATTTTGTCACCCTGCCAAGATGATGAGAAAAGCATTTAAGAAATTTTATATAAATTTTTTGCTTTGGAAAGAAGCCCTTTCCACCACCCCTTCAAGAAACGATACTTTTAGGAAAGCGTTACGAACCTTTCCAAAACACCCAACGCCTTGGTGAGCCCTGGAGGCACTTTTCTTTCAGAAGCTGCATAGGCAATTTGGTTGTCTTACTCCTGTTATTTGGAAAAGTGAAGTCAGTCTCTTAATTATCTTAACCGTTGTGTCTTTCAGACCCTGAAGATTAACATTGATCATGCTGAGATTTGGGCAGCACCTCATCAAGCCCTCTGTGGTCTTCCTGAAGACTGAGCTCTCCTTTGCTCTCGTGAACCGGAAGCCGGTTGTCCCAGGACGTATCCTTTTGAGCAGTGGCTCGACGATGGGCAGGAGGAGCTCGGTGCACTTCAAAGGCCAGGTAGGATGCTCTGCGGGTTTATTCTGAAACCAGACAGGGGAACGTAATACGCTTGATCGGTGTTGCAGAACTGCCGAAAACAGTTGCTTAGCAACTGTGACCTTAGAGGTGAATTTCTATTGACCTTTTCACCACAGAAGATGTATAAACAACCAGGTGTTACTAAAAGCATTTTAAAGTGTATCTGAGGTGGTACTGTTTAAATTTCATATTATGCTAAATAACACATCCTGCTTCCCTTGTAATAATGTCACTTATTTTTAGATGTGGTAACTTCTTTATGGAGGATTTTCAACTTCTGTTAGCTAAATGTACACAGTTTGTCAAATGGCAGCAGACTCCTGTATGAAGACTCTTATTTTTTGGGACAGATTGCTTTGATTAATTTAGGTAGGAAAGGATTAAATAAACCATCTGTATAGCACACATTTCCTGAGGTAAAAAATTAAGCCTCGTGTTGTAAGTAAAACTCTCAGTTTAGAAACTGCATGGGGACTTGATTCTGCAAGATGCTAAATGTGCGCCTATTTTAGCGTATTTTGTAGTGTAGAATATTATTTTCCAGTCAAAACTCTGCTACTGTGTAACTTGTGCTGATCTCAGTGGCTGGAGGTGGAACTTTTCAGAAATACTCAAGACTAGTCACTTCATTTCTGTAGAGGTCATGGTAAAATTTTAGCAGGAACTCAGGCAGTGGCTGCATGTGTATTGGGAAAAGAAGAAAGTTGCCTGGAGTTTATTGAAAGTTTTCTTGTTCTCATGTAGTTTTATGTTTTTTCTTTCATAGTTTAAGGTATAATTTAAAATTTAGTAACCTTTAATATATTATTTTTAAACCCATAAATGTGTTTCTTCTGAAATATGGAATCTTCCTCTTCTCCTGTCAGTTCTGTAAATTATAATAATTTTATATAGAACTCTTCTCTACACCTGCTTTGAATGGTGTCTGTACCAGAAGTCAGATCTTTTGGTTATAAATGCATGGCAAAGATGCATAGACTTTATAGAAACTTTAAAGGTGTTACTATTTCATCAATATATTTCAATGAATTAAATGAACAGTTCTTCTCAACTTCAAGTTTCCGAAGTATCTGATATAAATTAATGATTTATAGATTTTTTTCATAAAAGCAATTAGCACTTTCAAAGCTATCTAAAGACAGTATCATATCAGTCACTGTGAGATGCAGAGCCTGTAAATGCCTGAGGAATATGTTCATATGTGCATCGTCCAGATGAGAGAGTAAATAAAATGTTATCTGAATTGTGTGTGGAAGTTTTAAAAAGAATAGTTAATGATTTTTTTCCATTAACCAGTTCAGTGAACAATTGCATCTGTTGTTAAAAATAAAGGAGAGTTATTTTCATCTGAAAGACGCTTGGTTTAAAGTTTTGTGAGCACCCAGTAGTGACAATTTAAGCAGTCTATAAAACTTAATTATTACAAGCTTCTTTCCTTCTTAAATAATTAAAGATTATAAACTCTAGTTGTATAGTTATTGCTGACTGTTTGGCAGATACATTTATTTGCTCAGGATTAGCTTTGTTATCCCATAATGAGTATTGCAGCATATTTTATAGTGTCACATTGTTTTAATAGCTCATGTATTGTAATATATAATGTAGTCTTTGTTTCTCCATTGAATGAATGTTCAGGTAATAAAACCCCAACCCTTTCCCTTTCTCATTACAATAAGAAAAAATTAGAAAAGATCTTGATGCAAAGGCTAGAATACAGTATGTGAAATAGAGCAATTTGCAGTTGTAAGCCTTTAAAATGTCTCTATAATGCAGCATTCATCTTGAGACCTGGCAGTAACAAGTGTATTTTCTTTGTTTTATGGCAATAATTTTATCTGCCTTGTCTTTGGCACACTTCTGACATTCCTTTTCATTTTTTTTTTCAGTAGAAAATAAAATATTAATGCGTGTGAATTAGAGAGACAAAGGAAATCAGTTTGAAAGCCAGCTCACTCCAGGTGGTGGCTTTAATTAACTAGTAAGGTTGAAATTCCATCTTGAAACCAAATGTAGGATTGGAGTTGTGAATTTGCTGTAATAGTTTTAAAATAAAGCCGTGCTCTGGAAAAAATTCAGTCAAAATGATCTCATGGAGTTCAGTGTTCATGATTTGAGCAATGCCAAAGCGTGCTTGTTCAGTTAACACATTACAAAGTTTTGTTTTGTTTATTTCAGCTGCCAATCCTGTGAATTCAGCTTGACACTTGAAAGTCAAACTGTGCTAATGGTAACCATGAGTAGGAATAGCAAGAACATAGTAAGAACATGGTAAGGGAAGAGTTCCCCTCAGTTCCTGGGGAAAAAACTGCCTCAGTTGCCCCAGCATTAGACTTCTGTCTAACGGGTACACGCTAGTTCATGGACTCAGGAACCTGAAAATGTGATTATTGCAGATTCTTGAATAGGAAGTTACTGAGATCTTACTATTGAGAAAGTGGATATCTGGCGTTCAACTAGTATCTTTACTGTGTAAGCTAAAATATGTACGCGTTTGACAGTAGTAGCAAACTCATTCACCTCTTTTGGCACAACCAAATGGAGAGGGAGAGCTACACGTGGTCAATGTGCAGGATTAGTGCGTGCTCCCCTCAGGGCAGCCAGTCCCTCTGCTGTCACCTAATAGGAAAATGGTTAAGGCCCAGAGGTGTCTGGCCACAGTCTGAAGATGGCAAGTCACTCAACTCCCATGACAAAGTGAGGAGTGCGTACCTGTCTGTTCTTGCATATAGTTCAAGGGGGAAAATGGGGCTTCCCTGTCCCTTCTACTTGTCTGTCTTATTTCAGAGCAGACAGGCACACGGTATCAGGGACAGTCTTGATAAATGAGAGATTGTTTTGGGGAGTATGTTTTTATGTTGCTTTTCTATTTTGTACAGAAATGGTATGATTTTGTTTTGCTAGTGCCTGTGAATTGTTATGGAGCCAAGAGTCTAGGTGGGAATACTCTATGCAGTGCACTTCTTAGCAGTTAGCTTGGGAGTGGGGAGGAGGCGAGCTGGTTATTGTGTAAGCTTGCTGGGATTTGTATGCTTATTCAGGTATCAATACTGTTTGCTATGAAAAGTAGAGTCCCTCTTTCTTCTAAGTTCTGTTAGCTTGCTGCTCTGCAAAGAGAGATTGTGAAAGAAGTAATTTGTGGCTCCCTTGAACCACTGCGCAGTTGTTTTAGAGGAGGTGGCTGTTCAATAGGTGGAATAGTGCAGGGATGTGTCTATAGTCAGCGAATACATCGCTTCTGTCACACAACAGGCACAAGACGAACTGAATCAGCTCGTGCAACCAGCATGAGTTGAGCTTCTACTTGCATGTTGCTTAAATTATTTCTTTCAGAGCCTTGTTGCTTCCGTAGTTCAGAGCAGGATGGTAGTGTCTTTTTAAAGAAAATCCATCTGCTCTTTGACAGGGACTTTTTGTTCTTTAATATGGAAACAAATACTTTGTGAATGACCTACCATTTTATTGATGTTTTTCTAGCAAAACACCATAGCTTTACATGGTTTTGCTCACATCTTCGATAAATATGAACTGTTTTTTTATCACTGCCTTTCTCATTGCATTGTGCAGGGTACTTGCTTTCATCTTGTGTTAAACATGAAAAATGAATTTGAACATTAGTAGAATCCATTCGGGGACTAGGACTTTTATTACAAATAAAATTATTCATTTGTTATGTCAAAATTTTTTTCAGCAGACAAGGTATTGATCTTTGGATTTGTGTTCAGGATGCCATAAGAACTAGCACAACAGGAACACAGCAACATTTGTGAATTGATTGAATGCAATATGTAATGACAGAGACAAACATCAGATCTATGGCAATGCTATATTATACAAAGCATTTTTCAACAGTTTATTGAATTGGTTATTAAAAAGAACAGGCTTTCCAGCTGGGAACAATGAACTGCGGGTTATCAGGACCAAGCAATTTTATAGAAATTTGTGGTGGACAGTGTGGCTCCTTCAGTAAGTGCACATGTACGTGTGCGTGTAATAAATTGGAATAAACACTTTACAATAACTTTTCATCTGGGTTTGATTATGAAAAGGTTTTTCCATTTAAAAAAAAAAAAAAAAGAAGACACTGTTTAACTATTATGTACTGCACTTTGCTGAACTATTTGGTATTGCTATTTCCATAGAGATCTAGTGTTTTCCACCAGAGAGAATTCTGATTGTGGGGAATAGACCATAAATAAAAACCTATAGCATGTGATATTTTCTGGCACCTTCATCACTACATGAAGTTAATGGTCATTATTTGTTGCCGAGACAGTGTGCTGTACTGTGAGTTACTGCAGGTTGTTCCTTTTATTAATGAGTAGAGAAAACATTAGTTGAACCAGATGCTTCTTCAAAGACTTGATAACACCCTAAGCTGCAGTGTAATTGTTCTGGGTCTGTTGCATGGGTGGGCTGGGACCCGGGGTCATGCAATGTAAGGATAGCATCTGCTTTGCTGTACGATTTGTCTCTTTGAGCTTCCCTGTCATATGCTGTCAGAATTGTCATATTACTGGAGACTGACATATTCTGTATTGTTCACAAATGATTGCTGCTTCTCTTAAAAGATTTGCAGTTAGAAAGAAGTTATCCTTTTGATTAGTATTGTTTGTTACTATATTTTAAAAGTAATTTTTAGTTTACTTACAGTCCTGACAGAATTTCAATTGAAGATAGCACACTGACTCTGGAAAGAACAGCAGTATTCTCCCACAAGTTTGAGGAAAAAAAAGATAGTGTTTAGCATGTATATGAAATTTTAATTCTTCAAAAAGTTACAGAACTGCTGTTTATTGTGATTTAGTTAGTTTGTACATTGCACATTTATCACATCTGTATTTATGCTACATAATTATGAATTTTATGAGTTTTAGCCTGAATAAGTGTTAATATTTGCCATAAAACTAAGATTCAGAA